TGAAACTGAGGCACAGTTAGTTTTCCATTTATTTCACATTTCTTTTCCACTTGAAGAATAATTAGTTATTCCATGCTTTCTTCCTATCGACTTCGTTCTTTTGTTTCATAATAGAATAGCTTTAATATTAAAAATGTGATCTGAATCACATCTGAGCTGGGTCAAGTGTGTCTGGCGTGGAAGCAATTCATTATATGATTTAAGAGGTTTTAACAAGATGAGCTTCATCTGACCTGACAAATTTATGAATTGTTCTGACCAGCACAAGTAAAGTACGTTTTCCAAATTTATCCCCAAGTAATTATTGTAACACCCTTGTAAACCCACCTTGTAAACACAGTTCTGTAGGCTGTATATCCAGTATATATTGAAGAATTCATGTTTTATGAAAATATTAGAGCTTAATACCAAGCTTGTGGAATTAATGGGAGAATTGCGTACTGACTTTAATATTAATATTTTAATCTGGAGGTGCCTCTGTCCCTTCCTTACTAGACTTACTTAAGCCCTGAATTCTTCAGGAGATTTAGGCATTCATGCATTTTTATACATGTTACTAGTTCCATTGAAAATAAAGGGATTATTCATTGGTTAGAGTTAAATATGCAGAAGTACTTACTATAAGTAAGAATCTGAAGTGGAAGTTCAGAAATATCTGAAATGGCTTTTCTGTATGTAAAATATGGTTGTACTTACTTTAATCTCAACTTCCAGGGTTAGCTGCCTGGGCTTGTACCTATTCTAATCTCTCTTCTCACTCACCAATGCTGTAAAGCTCCATTTTTTAGTTCTGCTCATTTTCTATGTATTGGTGGTTGACTGTAGTAATTTACATGAATTCCTGATTTTACTGTTAAATGCCTGGGCAAAGTATGAAGACATGGCAAGACAAATGACTTTTAAATATTTCTCACATCTGGTTTCTTTACCTGTAATTCAGCAGTTGTGGTTTCCTACCAGTTCAGCTGTCAAGTCCATGTATCAAGTAAATTTTTCCTATGAGAATTTTGGAGAAATGGGTATCTGGATATCTACCAGAATCTTTAAGCAATCATAAACTTTTCATAAATAGCCAAAATCTTACAATATGGTACATGTCTGCATAGTTGTAAGAGAACAAAACACTCTGGATAGAGTAAATCAACCACAGAGGATATGATTTTTTTTTAATTTCTTTTTACCATGATACAAGTTTGCCACACTTTTTTGTCTCTCTCTGCCATACGTGAAGCAAGATTTTCAGTCCATATTAAAACCATCTTTGCAGCCAATGCAGGCCCTTGCTGGGGAACAAGGAATGCTTTCCCCATCATAGTATGGGCTAGAACGTGTGAAATACTATGACATAAATCTTTTTGTACTAGACTAATTTGGTATTGTTCCTGTTTTTTTTATTTCTAAATATGAAGTTTAGTTATGTTTACCTTTTAACATTCCAAAAGCCAGCAAACTCTTCCTTTGGCAAGTGCAAATCAACAAATGCTGGCAACATCCTGAAAGACAGCTTTCTGTTGTGAGCTTCTGTAGAGATTTATACTGCTCATTTGCAGTGTACAGTAGGAAGGTTGGTTGGTTGGTTGGTTATTCAGAGCTTGTGTGTGCCACTTTGGTTTGTTTGCTGCCTTTTGTTAGCCTGTGTGTTTATGTTAGCATAGTTCTGGACCATTTAAGACTTGTCTTGGATTTTTGAGAGCTCTGCTGCTGGCAATTAATTTTACATCCCAAATATCAAAAGAAAACATTGTTGTCAGTGAATTTGTAAATTAGCTTGTTTTCCTTTTAATACCATAATTACTTTAGTGTCCCAGCTGACATAATCTCAAAAGATTTTTACTGACTGTTGAGAGATTCACTCTTTCTAGTTTATGCCATTTTCTAACTTCCCAGAGTAATGATTCCCTAGATGTTTGTCAGTCTGGGTTTTGTACCCATACCTCCTGAGTTTCTCTGCCCATTTTGTGTTCTCTCTGCTCACATACCAGTTTCAACAAGTTCTTTGAAAGTTACAAATAATGAAGACAGTCTCTTAAAAAAACAACAAACCCACAAACAAACAAAAAAAATCAACCCCAAAACATATATTGTTGTCATGGCACAGCACCACTTGCTGACTCAGTGGGTAGCACACCAGGCTGGGGATCCAGCAGTGTGGCTGGAGTACATCATTATCTCTCAGTAGTATACTGCCTCACTTGTCCTGCTGCTTATCTTGTTAACTCTTTGGGGCAGGGACTACACAGGGTCTCTGTCCTTCCTGGTAGTCACATACTACAGGGATAAACATAATTAATTGCAAAAGCGAGGTTACTTCTGGAGTTATAGTTGAAAGCTATTACCATGGAATGATTCCTGATTTAAAATAAATGTATATTTTGTGTGTGTAGGAGACTGCATCCTGATTATTATTTTCAGAAATGGTACTGTGGAAAAAGAAGAAAATCATTGTTTAACATACAGTGCCATCTACAGAGCAGGCTATGCAACCTGAACTTCTTACATTATGTGGGAGGTTTTGTTTGGGTTTTTTGTTTGTTTGTTTTTGTGGGTGGTTTTTTTTGTGTGTGTGTATTTTTTGTTGTTGTTGCTTGTTTGGTTGGTTTTTTTTTTTTTGTCACAGTTCTAATGGCTAGAAAGTGTATGCGGAGTTTTTGTCAGATGCTGGCAGCAGTGGAGGATGAGGATGAGAGCAGTTTGTGCTCTCATCTGTTTTGGTCATAATCAGCAATATCCACGGGCCAGACTTCAGTAGAAACAGCCACTCTTAACTTTCTCTTAGAAGCCTATCTTGTTGTAGGCATTTTTTGTCTTTTTTAAAATGCAACTATTTCTAGCAATTCTACATCTGCAGCCAACCTTCCTGGCAATCACAAAACCTGCCACAGCAGTCTGACAGTCAGGCAGAGGTGGAAAAAGGAGGAAAGGGGCCAGAGAGGAAAACGCCCATCTGTGATCGTGTTGTGTGAACATGAGGTATATTAAGGCACCTTGTCAATTGTCCTTTCTGATTAGAGTCAGTTTAAATGTGGAGCTCAAGGGCAGTGGATATTCCCCTATTGTTGCCTAAGCATAAGCTGTAGAGAAAATTTTTAAGCAGGGGTTGTGTCTTTGTGTGGTTCACTGGTTAAAATGACAGTGCAAGAAGAGTTGGATTAAACCCCCAAAGTCTTCAGAGTGATCTTCAGTTAAATGTTAATTTTGATGCAGAAAAGTGGATTTGTTTTTAAAGACAGAAGAAGTGAAAGAACGATGAAGTATTACACCTTCCACTCTCAGGAATCCATTATTTATGTAATATAGCAATTAAGTTACTGTAATCACTCTGAAAAAACTGTTGTCTGTCCTCTTCTGGCTCCTGAACATGGCAAGTTATCTGATCTTTAACATGTTACTAGCCCAGGACCCACTGTTTGCCACCTTCAAATTAGTGGGTTTGAAAAACAGAAATGGGAAGGGAGGGCTGAGAATGAATTCTGACATCCAGGCTGAGACAAAATAATTTTTTGGCAGATGATCTTGCACAGGTGAAGAGGGAGAGGGAAAAATAGAATAGTCTTTGTTTTCTTATATAGCTACATGTGAAATTCAGTGAATTTAAAGTAGCAGCAGAGATGTACTGGGAGTCTGAGTGTCTGAGACAGCAGAAGTTGCACGTTAAATAGAGTTTATGAGACTAGTCTGCTTTTTGTCACCTGCACTGTCACAGTCAGCACATGTGACTGCGTAGGTGAGTGGGGGTGTATGTAAATAGTAATTCCCCTTTATTTAATATACATTAAAACTGCAAAGGGATAGAAATATGAGTTAGCAGAGTGCTACAAAATGTGAAGTTAATTATGTAGTAGTTATCCTCAACATTTCCATCTTTAAAGTGGTTTTGAACTGCATAACTGCAGCAGTTACTGTAGACTGTGATTAGATAAACAGATGCAAATAGTAATTGTAACTGATAAATGATTGATGATGGTTTTATATGTTTATCATTATATACTGTTGTAAACAATTTTTACTCCATGAGGATGGAGTCTGGAGGAAAATTGATATGTATGAAATACAGATTCAAACTTTAGTGCTTTTAAGAGTCTAGAGGGCCAATATTGTAGGGCCAATAGAGAGTTGTTACCTGAGGAACTGGTTCCTTTTGCCATTGGTATCATCAGGCTGAGCACCAAACATCTGCCAGCTGACATCCAGGGCCTGGATACAAGGTTTACAGGAGAGAGCCTAAAAGTAGAGATGGGGAGGCTGAGCACTGTTGAATGATGGCTTTTGGAGTGGAAGATGCCCTGATCCATTGCTCAAAAGAAGAGAAGATGACATTTCTCTTCATTTTTCCATTGCTTCCTATGGCTTTGGCCTTCTTTGACAACTTTCCAGTGTCCTGTCTCCTGTGAATCTATGAGAAATTTGCAGTGCATTTGACAGCCACAGAGTGACTGTATTACACCCACATATTAGGAGCCACTGGGGACAGAACAAGTGTGTTTGGATCCCTGGAAGTTGATGGGTACAAGGGGACAAATATGCATGTCTCTAGAAAAACAGGGTGGGATAAGAGGTTTTTGTAGTGTTAATGGCGCTATAATTCTATTTGGTTTGTCACCTGCCATTTGCTAATTATTAATCACAGTAGGAATATTTGTTAGTTACATTAATTGAAAGGGAATTTTATTGCAGCAGCTTGAATTTAATATCACTTCTTTGTGTATTGTACAATGCAAAAAGTAACCTGTAGGAATTAAATTACAGGCTAAGTCTTCATTCAAAGAAATTATTCTATTGACTGAGGAAAAAAATAAGCAGGATATTACCAAAGAGAAAGCCCAGATCATTAGCAGCCTCTACTCTGCTCTGTTCACTTCTCTGGCAGTGCTGAAATCCGTCTGTTAGTTTTCCTGTGGTGTTGTAGAACTAACAATGAACTTGCCATCTTTTCTGTCATGTGCCTGCCCTTGGGCTTGTACAAAAGAAGGGAATTAAGTTGTGTTTTGTTGACCTTTTAGATGCAAAGGAAATGGTAGTCCTGCTTCCTTACACATCGAATGCTGCCAGGCTGTTGTCTGTGTTAACCTTTGTGGAGCACCCCAATGTGATCGTTACCCTAGCGCCACGACACAGATGTCAGAGAGAGCTGAAAAGGGATAAATTGGAGGTGCCATGCAAAACAGCTCAGCTAAAGACATTTTTCTCCTGCCCTGAAGAAAAGGTAGTCTGTATGTGTTTAACTACTTAGCTGGTCTGTGAGTCCTGTAATTTGCTTAGCCAAACAGAACTTCAAAACAGATGGTTTCTAAATTTGGGGAAAATAACCATTACAGTATTTTTTCCCCATGCAGTCTGCAGTTATACTTTGTACTGAAATTATTTGAAAATTAAACAGGAAAATAAAATTTGGATTTTTACCAACTGAATACTAATTTCAGGGACATCCAGTTTTTAGTATGTATTAGTTTTCATCTGCACATTTAGCCTAAGATTTGTTTATGCTCTGATTTAGTGCCTCTTGCTGCTTACTTGCATAAACACTACCAAATCAGTCAGTTGGAGTTACCAGAGTATTTAGCTCCCAGCTGCATTTGCTTATAAAAGCTGGAATGACAAGTTTCCTCCTTTGCAGAGGAGGAAGTGGGGAAACAGAAGGAAGTAACTCATTGCACTTGCATAGCACCTGCCACCATCCATCTCTACAGGCACTTTTCCAATAGTGAGTGCACTGCCTTGTGTGGAAAGCATTTCTTTGTGAGAAACTGCTCCATTCCCAGTCTCTTGATTGAGGAAACTGAGGGGCAGAGCATTTTTCTCATCTAAAATTGTAAGTGAAGCTAATCAGAAGGTAGAAATGTAAGTATCCTGGGCTTTGGGATTATTTTCTTATGATAGAAATAAATTATGACAAAGGAATTAATTATATCATATTTAGGGTTTTTTTAATATATTTGTAATATTAATGCACATCATCAATATTTTCAAAGTGTATGTAAGAAAATTATATTTAGGAATTCTGCCTTTCTCTTAGAATATATGGTCAGCTGTTAGTCATTGTGTGCATGCCTATCCCTGAACATAAAGAGAATGTCTAGGTGTAAAAATTGAGCTCAAATTGGTTTTCTTTGAAAAGCCAAGCATAGTATTTGGTTTCCATTTCAGCAGTACTTTAACTGTTAGTTGTCAGGGTGAGAGCACCAGCATATTCTCAGGTAGTCTTTGAGATAACTCATTACCCAAGAACAGAAATTATCTTTGTTTGGGGATTCCTGGAGGGAAATTTATTTGATTCAAGTCTTTCCTCCTTCAAGGAAGCATGCTCTGCGATGCCCAGTCATACTCTGCTGAACAAGGCTCAGCTGGGCTTTGGAAAGCACTGCCACAGAATGCTGTGAACCACAGCAAACAGTGATACAGTCTCCAAGAAACCCCTAAGCTACAGGTTTTTGAGGAAGGGTGTGCTGAGAAAAATACTGCTCCATATTGCCCAGTCTTTTAAATTCTTTCCTAAATACCTCTTATGGATCATTGCCTGAGGGTCCTGTGTCAGTGTCCTGGGAAGATAAATCCTTGGGATGACAACAGTGGCTGATTTTTGACTGTAGAGTCAAAAGAGTACTCTTTTGACCTGTAGAGTTCTTCCATTTGGACTTCTCTCCAAGCTGTTTTGTCCTCTACCCCGATTAGGGATTTATCTTTTAAACTGAAATTATCCTTTTTTAGACAGAGGACTAGAATTACATGCCCTTCGTCAGAGAGCATTCCCTTGTACAATGTACCACCTGTGCTGTGGCAATGATATGTGTTTATTTCTGCTGAAAACATCTAGCCTGCTACATGTTTTTTACCATCTCTAGGCTATTTCTGCTAGTGCAGCTGTAAAACACAGCCTTCGATTGCTTGCTGAATTGTCAAATTCAGTTGGCAATTGAGAGTCTGCCTCAGCATTTTAATGGGCTTTGGCTACAGGTTTCAGAGTAGGACTCTTCTCCTTTTCTTGAAAACCTGCTTTCTAGTTGGGGATTTCTAAGGGTGGTATTGTAGATCTGCAGGCACCAGTGGAAGTGGGTGTATGGAAGTGTGGATTCTTAATTAGGGAACAAGATGACTTCCCTTTGTACACTCTCCTGAATTTTCAGACTTTTTAAGAAGGGAAAGTGTTTGGGCTCCTTTGGCTGGTTTTGTTTGCTTGGGCTTTTTTTTTAACTGGTGCAGTTGTTCCTTCCCTGCCAGAGGCTTGTAAGCCTCTTGTGTGTGCGAAACGTCACAGAGTATGAAGCTATGAGAGTGCTTAAGGTCTCGAGCTGTAAGAGTAGCAGTTTATATAACTGAAAGCAGTTGTCTATTGCTTTTTTATTAAATGCTCTTGTTAAGCTGTGGTTGTTGACCATAAGTGCATTCATAGCATCACCTCACAGGTGGAAACTCCTCTCTGCTTTCCTTAAGCCCTCTTTGAGAAAGAATTAAATGACTTTTAATTCTCTTCAAATTCATCTCATTTGTATCTCCTCTGATGTATATAATCTCTGCTGGCTCAAAGGGAATGCTTTTGGTCAGAATATAACTATGAACTAGGCTTTTGACTAGTCCATATTGCTTTTAAAGTTGTGGTTTTTATGTGAACCAGTTTAAGGAGTGAAACTGCAGTTTGGAAGTTCCATCAATACCTTCTTGGTATGTTGCATCACTGAGTTGAAAGGTAAAACTACAGTATAATAGCCACTTGATGGTGCTTTCTAAAGACTATAATGTCTCTTTCTTTAGCTGCAGATACAGTAGCAGCTGGCAGGAGCATAAGGTTCCAGAATTCTTATCGCTGCCATTATAACTTTGTGGCTTTTATGTTACTACATAACATTTATATACAGGGAAATGGGAAGGAAGGTGAGTGAAACATATTTGCACATATTATTAACAATGTCCAGTACTGATGGGTTGTATTTTATTCTGAAGGAAATGCCACTTTTTGGAGGGGTCATCTATTGTCCTAATTCACAGCTTGATAGATCATTGTGATTATTAGCCTGTTGTGTTATAACCAAAATTTCAAGATCCTGTTTGTCTTGACCTTCCTTGTCATGAGTTTATATCTAAATCTGTAAAATATTTCAACTTCAGATTTAGAAAGGTAATTGAATTATGTTATATGAAGCAAAGTGTGTAATTTTTCACATCTTTCTAAAAGAGCCTGGTTTTTAGCACCTTGTCTCCAAGGAATGTCAGGTGGATGATATCCTTCACATCAATAAATGTAGCCATCACCATGGAAAAGAGAACCTTCTCTCTTCAGTCTGATTTTTCATTCAGATGCTTTGATTAAGCATTACTGAGCTAATGTAGAAATTAATTGAAGTAATATCCAGCAAAGGGTTGTGAATTTTTCCCATATGCAGAAGAGAAGTATTATGTATATGAGTTTTGCCCTTTTTTTTTTTTTTTTTCCTTTCAGTGTGGAATGTGTTCAGTCTATTCTCTACAAGAAAAGACACAAAGAAAAATGGAAGGAAAAGAAATCCAGGTGGTCTCTTGTGGCTGGAGACACATATATATATATATAATAATATGGGAGTTACAAAGTAATCGATTCAGATTATCAGGGTGATTTCATTATATAATAATTAGAGTAATATGCTTTCAGGTAATTAATTTTTATTTTCAAGTAGATGATACCTCTTTTTCCTGTTTGCAACACCTAACTCTGGTAGTATTTGCCAAAACTAAGCTCCCAAGGGTAAATACCTCATCACAGAATCATAGAATCATTAAGACTGGAAAGGAGACCCAAGATCATCAAGTCCAGCCTTTGAATGCCACCGTGTCCACCCAACCGTGTCACAAAGGGCCACATCTGCTCATTTTTTTAACGCCTCCAGGCATGGTGATTCTACCACAAGTCCCAGGTGAGGAGTGGTGACTGACCTTGAGCAGATCCAGTTTCTAGTCCAAAAGTGGTGCTTCTGCTGTAACTGCCTTTTTGAAGTGTTACTTGAAGTAACACTCATCACATATTTGCCTGTTCTTTATGCTTCTTTAGCCTAAATTACTCTGTCTAGCCACCATTTAGGTACAATCTTATCTTGGAAGAGAAATGGCCCATGACTTGAAAGTTACAAAACAAACATGAATGGTTCAATCTCATGAACCCCTTAAAGAAAGTTAGGAGAGCCTTTGTGGGAAATAAAGGCAGTGCTCTGCTCAGCAGGACAGTGAAAAGTCTTGGGTTTCAGGAATCCAGTTGCCCCTGTTGGAAAATTGATATGTAATGAGTGACCTGAAAAAAGTGATTTTTTCCATGTGATGAATTGGAAAGAAATTGATGGGAAGAGATGATGCAGAAGTTTCTGCCTCCTAATCAGGGGTTGAGCTAACATGCTGTACTAGCAGGAAATTTCCAAGCTGCTCATTGTATTGCTTCAGAAAACGAAAAATCATCCCATTTCTTGAAAACACAGTGTTTTGTCTTGGAAAGAAAAATGCAATAAATTATGGTACTTAGTATTTTAGACCTTCTGCCTTCTTGTATCAAGGTTCACTAGAGCTAGTAGAGGCTGATTCAAATAGACAGCTTTTGCCATAGCCTGCAGATGACACTTTAGTCTCCACTGTCACTAATCGGGCTGGGAATGACAATCACAGTGATAATTACATGGATACTCTGGAGACTCAGAGGCAAAGCAAAACAGATTCTGCACCACAGAGAATTTACTTCTTGAACAACCAAATACAAGAAATCAAATCCTCCTGATGCAGGTTGTCTGATACTATTGGATGACATATTGTATAAGCAAACCTAATTATTAGTAGAATTGTATTGCCTTGCATGTTTTAGTTTTGGAACACATACATATTTATTATTCCATCTGCTCCCGAAAGACGTAGCAATTGGTTATTACAATTAGATAATTACTAAATATATTCTGTCCTTCTGGAACTTAAATGGAATGCAGACTTGGGAGCCAGCAGGGGATACTCAAGAAAACTGAACTGAGCTAAATTGAAAACTGATGAGAAGGTACCACTTTCTGCAGTGCATAATTTCACTTTGGAGCACGCTGGGCTGAGGTGGTATCAGGTTTTGTTCAGCACTGGTTGTGTGTTTCTTCAAAGTGAGTGCCTGGGCAGCAGCAGGTAATCCTGCCTGATTGCTTTGTCCTGCACATAACATAATAACATGCAACGTGCAACATCCACCACAGACACAAAACATCATGAATGCTCCTG